GGTGAATATAATAGAATCAGGGGCATAGAAAGGGAGTGGACTGACTATTCTCGGCCGGGGGGGAGGGTTATGGGGGGTGTGGGAAGAGACTGGACAAAAATTGTACACCCATGGATGAGAACAGTGGATGGCAGAGGTAAGGGCAGAGGGGGGGGTGGGAACCAGGGGGAGGGGAGCTATGGGGGAAAAAAAGAGGAACAACTGTAATAATCTGAACAATAAAGATTTAATTAAAAAAATAAAATAAAAAGTGCCAAGGTTTTATCACATTCTTGGAACTCACTAGCATATGTTTTCCATTTTTGACCATGCATCTACAGCACACATATCAACAATGAAGAACACTGAGCCCTTGCCAGGTGGTTCAGTTGATTGGAGTGTCACCATGTACACCAAAAAGATTTTGGGTTCGATTCCTGGTCAGAACACATACCTAGGTTGGTGATTTGATCCCCATTCATGACACATACAGAAGGCAACTGATGAGGTTTGTCTCTCACTTCAATGTTTCAATCTCTCTCTCTCTAAAATCAATAAACATATCCTCCAGTGAGGATTTAAAAAAAAAGAGGAACATTGAGGGTAACAGATCTCTTATTCCTTGGATTTTCCATGACTCATAGTTTGAGAAACCCTGCTTTGTTTTTACAGTCAGTATTAGTGGTCCTTTTATGAGAAAGCGTATCTGATTTCTTTCATCAACTCAGAGCAAGTTAGATTTGATACCTTCAGGGAGCAATTTGATGACTGTAGCAAGGCAGTCTGTCACTATTGCCTAAATCATGATGGAAAGGGAGTTCAATAGCTATAACAGGGTGGGGGTTGGAGATGAAGCTGGCCATAATTTGCAGAGAAGAAAAGGTGAGAGTGGGACTGAAAAGGGATCAAGAACCAAAAGTTGGTGGGGATGGAGGGTGACAGTATATAAATGTCCACACATACTTATGTATGAAAATATTTAGAATTCAAATTCAAATACAGGTGAAGTCTTTATTATCTAAATACTAGTGGCCTGGTGCACGAAATTCGAGCACGGGGGGGGGCAGTTCCCTCAGCCCAGCCTGCACACTCTCCAATCGGGGACCCCTTGGGGGATGTCCTGTGGGATTGGACCTAAACCGGCAGTTGGACATCCCTCTTGCAATCCGGGACTGCTGGCTCCTAACCGCTCACCTATCTGCCTGATCACCCCTAACCACTTTGCCTGCCTGCCTGATTGCCCCTAACCCCTCTGCCTGCCTGCCTGCCTGATCACCTCTAATCTCTCTGCATGTGGGCCTGGTCACCCCTAACTGCCTATGCCTGCCTGCCTGATTGTCCCTAACTGCCCTCCCCTGCCAGCATGATCATGCCCCCAACTGCTCTCCCCTGTTGGCATGATCTCGCCCTCAACTGCCTCTGCCTGCCTGATCACCCCCAACTGCCCTCCCCTGCCTGCCTGATCTCACCCCCAACTGCCCTCTCTGCCTCAGCCCCACCACCAGGGCTTTGTCCGGAAGGAAGTCAGATGTCCGGAAGATGGCTGGTCGACCCGGTCTAATTAGCATATTACCCTCTTATTAGGATAGATCAGCCATGGGCAAAGATAGGATTGCTTAAATGGGGGGTGGGGTAAAGCCTTTTCTGCAGGAGGAGATGCTCTTGGCAGACAAAAATACATAATCCCTATATCTGAACTGATAGCCAGACTGATATGCACTATACTGCCAAACTGGTCATTAAAAAATTGAACTGCTTTCTTTCACCTTACACCAAACAGCTGTTGCCCTTAAAAACCCTCCTCAGCCCCCACCATCGGTTCTGCCTTTGCAGTTCACCCAGATTAGGTTCTGATTGGTTGGTTTCTATGCCAGTCAGCATCAAAAGCTCTGCCTCCTAAGCAGCCATTGGCTCCTCGCACTTCACCCAGAGATGGTTCTGATTGGTCAGTTTCTATGATAGTCAGCATCTCCGGGCCTATCTCTGGGCCTAATCAGAGAGGTGGGGCTGATCAGCAGCCCCTGCAAAGGCCGGGAGAGAAACAGAGGCAAGGCTGCTGGCGAAGCCCAGAGAGAAGGGGGCAACAGCTAATCAACAGTTTCCATGGAGGCTGCAGATCAGACCCTGCCTCTCTCTTCGGGCCTCTCTCTTTGGGCCTCTCTCTTAGCCTGATCTGCAGCCACAGCAACCCAGCACTGACTGCAGGACTGACTTCCAGTCGGTCAAGCCTTCGGTTTTTTCAGACCCTGGGTTTTTATGTATTAGGATGCATGTTCACTGATACAAAGGTTGAGAGTTCAGGCCAGAACTCTTAGCTACTTGAATTTTATTTTCCTTCCCCAGCAATTTGCTAGACACTTGCACTGTTCTTTACTCTCTATGGCATTCCCAGGCCCAGCAGTGAAGCAGCAGGCGGCTGGGGAGGAGCCGAGCCTGGGCCTGGCATCACACTGCTCCTGCTCATCCCGGTCCCACTGCACCTGCCGCCACCATTGCTCAGTAGCGCTGCCCAGGAGGCAGGAGAGGCTTGTGCTGCCACAGCTGCGCTTGCCAGCTGTGAACTGGTACCTGGCACCCATTGGTGAGCTGACCAGCACTCCCGCTGTGGGAGCACACTGACCACCAGGGGGCAGCACCTGCATTGAGTGTATGCCCTCTGGTGGTCAGTGTGCATCATAGCAACTGGTGGTTCTGCCATTTGATTTGCATATTAGCCTTTTATTATATAGGATATACCCAGCCGACACCTAACTGCTCACCTACTGGTCTGATTGCCCCTAACTGCCCTCCCTGCTGCCCCGGTCACCCCTAACTCCCCTCCCCTGCTGGCCTGATCGCCCACAACTGCCCTCCCCTGCCAGCCATCTTGTGTCCACATGGGGGTGGCCATCTTTGACCACATGGGAGCGGCCATCTTATGTGTGGGAGTGATGGTCAATTTTCATATTATTATTTTATTAGATAGGAGTTCCACTTTACCTCTGTACAAATGATTATGGTTTGTTTATCAGGCATCCTTGAAGCCTGATGCATTGTGGAACTAGCAGATAAAATATTTAACATACTAGTACTTGCTCAAGTGACTTGAATATTTGTCCAAGGTCTAGCCAAGAAACAAACAAAAAACACACCAAAATAACCTAGAACAAAAAGAAAATTGGGATTGGGATAGGTGGAAGATTACAGAAATATGGACTTAAAGTTACATTTACACTATGAATGTATCTTCATGGTGAAGAGGAACTAAGGTAATGGATTTGTAGTAGAGAGAGCCAGGGTCTAAGACTGAGCAAGTCAGAAGAAAAGACAGTTCAAATATGACAGAATCAAATAAGTAAGTGAAAAGATGTGAAAGCTTTATGAAATAAATTTAACTTATTATGCCTTTCCTCTTTGTTTTTCTAGTCCTTTGGAGTTATGCTCCAGAGCTTTCCTCTTCCGGGAAGAGGCACCTACTAAGATAACTCCCTTGTCAAGTAAATATGTATTCATTATTAACTAATTCATCTAATAATGTTTGATCATATGTGCCAGGCAATATCAAACAAAACAATAATAGAGAAATGTAGTAGAGAATAATTAGTTATATGTTGTCAATGCCCTCTTCCCATGTAGGAAGTCAACAAAAACTGAGGAAACTGCAGTGGAAAGAGCCAAGGCCAATGCTACCCTTTGGGAGGCCAGGCTGGAAATCACAGAGCTCTCTAGGATTGAGTATCGTGATACTTCCCTGAGACTTGCGAAAACTAATGAGGACTTAAAGAAACAGCAGTATAAAATGGAGAAAGACACAATGTCCGTATTAAGCTACCTGAAGAAGCAGGACCAGGAGAAAGATAATATGGTAGGTGGGTAGAAATCCTCATTACATAGAAACTTTGTGGCCTGCATTAACTAATTGATATTGGTCTGCCTTTATCAGTATCACTTATACTTTTTTATTTTCATCTGCCTCCATATATCAAAGGCCTACATCTATCTGTAGCAAATGTACAATTTTTCACAATTATGGATGTTCATTAAAACCAAAGAAATTATTTTGCAAAGTAAAGCAGGTTCAAAATATCCTGGTTAGCTAACTCTCCGATATTGTTTTACTCATTCCTCTATATCATAGAAATATATTATTTTCTTAAACTTTATTTAAACTGTTAATTATAGAAATACTAGAGGCCTGGTGCACAAAATTCGTGCACGAGGGGGGTGGCCTGCACCCTCTCCAATTGGCAGTCGGACATCCCTCTCACAATCTGGGACCACTGGCTCCTAACCGCTCGCCTGCATGCCAGCCTGATTGCCCTCTAACTGCTCTCCTGCCGGCCCGATCATCCCCAACTGCCCTCCCCTGCTGGCTCGATCACCCACAACTATCTGACCCACCTCCTCTGCATGAGGCGGTGGAGATGCCAGGACTGGCCTCCTCCATGCCACGTGGAGCCCTGGGACCCCCAGGCCTCACCACGTGGAGCGGCTGCCAGACCCCACCTCTGCTGTGCACGTGGCCATCTTGTGGTGGCCATTTTTGCAATGACCATCTTGTGAGGGCATCGCGTGAGGGCATCACGCAAGGGCGTTGCACAAGGTTATGGTGCCACCTAGGCTTTTATTATATAGGATTAAAAATAAAATGTTCTGCCCTGGCTGAACAGCTCAGTTGGTTAGAGAATCGTCCCAGTATGCCAAGTTTGTATGTTCTATCCGCAGTCAGTCAGGGCACATACAGGAATTAACCAAAGAATAATGAATGCATAAATAAATGGACCAATGAATCAATGTTTCTCTCTCTCTCCCCCCTGCTTCCTCTCTCTCTGTCTATCTCACAAGTTTATCAATAAGAATTAAAAAAGAAAATGTTTTTAAAATTATATCTTGAACAAAATTTGGAAATTTTCCTTAAAAATGGGTTTTTGTTTTTAATGCTTTGTTCAATCAATCACAAAATAAATAACATTTCACACCCATCCTACATGGTTTAGGACTATATTTTTTAGAATTTGTAGGTTTTTCTTAAATTAATCTAAGATATTGTTTATAACAGTATTTCACTTCTGGATCCTCTGATTGCATAACCAAATCAAGGAGTTTTTAGTTTAAAAAACTACTTAGGTTCCCTACTAAAACCAGCATCCTTGGAGAAATGACTAATTCCAAGAGTAGGGCAGGGAAAGTAAAAGATGAATCTGGAATATCTTATTGTGCCAGAGAGTAGGTAAAAAATATTAATTTAGGATGGTGAACACACAGTACAGATGATGTGCTGTGGAATTGGGCACCTGAACCTGTATAATTTTGTTAACCTGTGTCACCCCAATACATTCAATAAAAAGGAAAAAATATTAGTAAGGGAAAATAAAGTAAAAATAATTAGAGGACACAGGAACTAGTTGAAAGGGGCTCCAAAAGGCCAAATCTGGGAAAATCAAAATAAATAATTATTAATAAATTAAAACTCATTGAAAAGAGTAAGTCCATGAGCACATACTACCAATAACACTTCTGAGAGTGGGCGTCCATTTTACAGGATCACCAAAAGACCTAGTAATTAATGGGTTGGGGCCTTTTTTAGTTACTTCCCTTTGTCTGGGGAATTTTCCTGGAACCTGTGTTATCGGCCATGTGTACTGCTCATATTCTCTCTCCTCACCCCCACATTCTGTTTGCTCTGGGGAAATTTAGTAATGGCCTGGCCATCTTCTGTTTCTTTTCTATGAAGATAAATTAAAGGCATGCTTCATAGACTAACAATAAACACATTAAATCAGACAGAAAAAACAACAATCAACAGACAAGCACGCATAACACAATGCAGTTTGAATAAGTTAAAGATGACAAGGGCACTCCTTTTCCTTGCGCTTGATTTAAGAGAGTACCTTTTGACACCTAATTCCTTTATCCTTGAGCATGCAAGCTAAAAATTTTACAATGATGTTTTTGCCTTTTACTCGAATTCTTCCCCATTATAACCTGGCTGAATCAACATGTTCCTTGTCCACTTATGGTTGCAACTCTGAAGCTGGCACGGGCTTTGTGCGCAGTGAATTTCCCACTTTTCTGGTGAATTTCCACTTTTCCTTTTTCACTTTGTTTTTCGCTCAGGTGAAACTTCTCCTCCAGGTCCTGCTCATGGCACCAGAATGCTGCAACCTGCATGGCTAGTGTTCAGGATCCGAAAGAGGGGCTGATGCACAAATGAAAGTACTATACAAGAAATATGAATTTAGAAGGCATGAAGGGCCAGGTGGAGACCCCTTTCTTGGGGAGCCACACTGAAACCTGGCCTTATCCACTTTTTATTCAATTTTAGATACACATCTTGCCCTCAGTAGAGCATGGCAAACAGGTAGTAGACAGACTGTCTCTAAGTTCAATAAACATCAGTAAATATCAGTAAGCTTCAGTAAACATTTACTTTGAGGCTATTCATTCAGGAAATTGCTTCGAGCCACCACTATCTCAACACAGAACAATTGGTGCTTAGCGTCAGCCTGCTAAAGCCCAAGGTCCATTGGCCTTCTGTGTTCCTTGGTGCACTCTTATGACAGTATTGGGAAAGTGGTGGCTTCCCGCAGTCACAAGATAGTCCCAGGGATGTAAAGTACAACATAGGGAATATAGTCAATGATATTGTAATAATATTGTACAGTGCCAGGTGCCCCCCTCTCCCCCACCGAGGGGACCATTTTGTAAGTATATGATTGTCTAATCACTGGGGTATACATCTGAAATGAATACAAAATAATATTGAATGTCAAATGTAATTGAGAAATGAAATTTTTAAAAAGTTACCCAGATAAGAGAAATGCATATCAAAACAATGAAATAGCTACTATCGGAAAAACAGAAAATAACAAATATTGGAAAGAAAGCAGAAAAATTAGAACCCTTATGCACTGTTGGTAGGAATGTAAATTGGAACAATTACTATGGAAAACAGCATGGAGGTTCCTCAAAAAATTAAAAATAGAATTGCCAGATGATCCAGCAACAAGAATTTAAAGCAAGATCTTGGAGAGATACTTGCATGCCCATGTTTGTTCAAACATTATTCACGTAGCCAAGAGGTGGAAGCAACACAAATGTCCATTGATGGGATAAAAAAGGGAAAAAATGGTATATACAGACATTTAATGGAATATTATTACACAGCCTTAAAAAAGAAGGAAATCCAAACAACCTAAGTGCCCATCAGCAGATGAGTGGATTAAAAAACTGGTACATCTACACAGCGGAATACTATGCTGCTGTAAAAAAGAAGGACCTCTTACCATTTGCAACAGCATGGATAGACCTGGAGAGCATTATGCTAAGTGAAATGAGCCAGTTGGAGAAAGATTAATATCACATGATCTCACTCATTTGTAGAATATAATGAACAACATAAACTGATGATCTAAAATAGACCCAGGACATAGAAGCATCGAACAGACCATCCAACTTCAGAGGGAAGGTGAGAGGTGGGGGGCAGGGGAAGGGGAGTAGAGGAGGAGAGACCAAACAAAGGACTTGCATGCATGCATATAAACATAACACATGGACACAGATAGTAGGGGGGCAAGGGCATGTGCTGGAAGTGGGGTGGGAACAACCAGGGAGAGGTCAATGGGGGGAAAGGGAGACATATTTAATACTTTAAAGAATAAAGAATCAAAAATTTAAAAAAGGAAATCCTGTCACATGCTACTTACGACATGGATGAACCTCAAGGACATTATGTTCAGTGAAATAAGCCAGTCATAAAAGGATAAATATTGTGTGATTTTATTTATATCAAATATCTAAAGTAGTCAAAATCCAGAAATAAAAAGTAGAAAGGTGGTTGCCCAGGGCTTTGGGTAAAGGAGGAAAAGGAATTAGTATTTTATGAGTATAGAGTTTCAGTTTTTCAAGATGGTAAGTTACAGAGATTTGTTGTACAACAATGTGAATATACTTTACTGAAGTATACATTTAAAAATGGTTAATATTTCTTTTCTGAAATCAATAAAACATTTAAAAAATAAAAATGGTTAGCATGGTCAATTTAATGTTCTTTTAAAAAATTTTTATTGATATTTAGAGAGAGAGGTAAGGAAAGATATAGAAACATCAGTGATGAGAGAGAATCATTGATCGGCTGCTTCCTGCACGCCCCCTAATGGGAATCGAGCCCCCAAACCGGGCATGTGCCTTGATTGGGAATCAAACCATGACCTCCTGGTTCATAGGTTACCAATCAACCGCTGAGCCACACAGGTGGGGCAATGTCTCTCCTTTTTTTTTTTTTTTTTTAAAAATGTATTCTTTAACTTTTAACTTGAGAGAGAGAGAAAGATAGAGAGACAGAGAGACATCAATTTTTTGTTCCACTTGTTTATGCATTCATTGATTGATTCTTCTATGTGCCCTGACTGGGTACCAAATCCACAACCTTGGCATATTGGGACAATGCTCTAACCAGCTGAGCTACCCAGCCAGGGCTTAATGTTGTATTCTTTTACCACAATTTTAAAAAAAGAGTTACTCAGGTAATTCTTATGATAGCCAGGTTTGGGAAACTAGCAATAGCAGATTAAAGGTATGAAGTATGTTCCCTCTCCTCTTCCCTCCTTACTCAACCTCTCCAACCCTACTGGTTTTAATAAGTGAAAACAAGGCTACTTAATAAAGGAAGAACACAGCAATTTCATCACCTTCCTAACTCTGTATTTTCATCTTCTATAGATTGAAAAACTAAAACAGCAATTGAATGAAACAAAGGAAAAAGCCCAAGAGGAGAAGGAAAAATTGGTAAGTATCAATGTACATTAATACGCTTACTGGGTGGTCAGCTTTCTGACAAGCTCATTTTTAAGACACAGTGAGATTAAATGAATCAGTCACCTGAGCAGCTCAGTGACCTTACAGCTCACACGTCTGTTGTACAGAAGCTCAAAAAATAACATAAAAATATGTTATTATAGAAAACCATCTGGTATTAGTGGTGCTTACTGATCCCAAGTTTTACATTCTTCCTACGGCTTTTCAGTGGGCCAAAAGTTAGGAAATATGTATACACAGTATTTTTAAAAGATTAAAATATAAATAAAGAAATTTTTTAAAAGATTAAAATATATCACAAAATATATTATAAGTCCACACTAATGTTTTCAATTCAGACCCAGGAATAAAGGGTTTTTACTTAACTATATCTCCTTATAAAGTTAAGTGTGTCCTTTCTTCCTTGCCCAAAATCCTGATTCTTAATGATACCAATATAATTTTGTAGTTGCTTTAAACCTTAATACATCAACAGTCACAGAATACTGATACCAATGCTACCACCAACATAGATTAGTGGGAACAGTTTTAAGATTTTGTGAGGCCCTTTTCTCCTTGATATATGCCAATATGAATCTTCTATTAAATTATAAGGTTTAAAAATCATTTGAAATAATTCCTTTCTGTGAGGTTATGCCATCAACTCAGCAACACAGTTTGCTTTTGATATTTAGGAGTTGCTTTTGAAAAATTTAATCGTGCATATAAAAGTATGTAATTATATAAATATTTATAATTATGTGGTTTCAAAGTCAAATCTATCAAACATGGTATATTCTGAGAAATCTAACTTCTGTCCATGTGTTCAAAATATACCATATAGGTGAGAAATGGTGTTTCAGTGTATTTTAATTTGCATTTCTCTTTTTGTGAGCTAGGTTGAGCATATTTTCATATATCTGAGGGTCATTTGCATTGCTTTTGATATATCAGGTGTGGTGGTTTTTGTGTGTGTGTATGTGTGTTTTGTTTGTTATTGTTGTTTTTGCTGTATTGGCCCTTTTTCTTCTTCCTCCTCCTTTTTCTCTCTCCTTCCCTTTTTTCCTCTTCTTCCTTCTTTCTTCTCCTCCTCTCTTCTTCCTTCCTTCCTTCCTCTTTATCCCACCTTCTCCTTGCTTTCTTTACTAGAGATATTAGCCCTCCCTCTGTCTCTTAATTTACTAATTTTAATTTAGGGTCAGGAACGTTATTTATTGTTCTTACAGATTAATTTTTTTTTTAGTCTTATGCCTCTTGTTAATAAATATCTGCATTTTCTATACAAGATCAGTTTACTTAGAATTTTTCTTATTCAAGGCACTTGATATTTTTTAACAGAAAGTAAAACTTTATGCAAAAATAAAAAGGGAACATTTCTTTAAAGAGGATAGACAAATGACTTAAGGCTTCAAATGGAACATGATTCTGTGGGATATCTGTTCTTTTTCCTAACTCATTTACCTGTTTTTCTTTGTTTTTATATACAGGAACAAAAGTATATTGGGCAAATAAATGAGCTGGAGGGACGTTTCTATCAGAAATCCAAAGAAATTGGCATGATTCAGACAGAGCTAAAAACAATAAAACAATTCCAAAAACGAAAAATCCAAGTGGAGAAAGAATTAGATGATGTAAGTTTCTTTCTTTCTTTTAAAAAGGAGGTTAGAATTAACTACTATGTCTACAAAAGCCTTCACTGACATTTACTCATGTAAGATGGTAAAGGGATTTTTTTTTCTTACAATAAAAGTGTAAAAAAAAAAGTCACATATGTAATACCCTTTGTAATACTTTAAGCAATAAAAAAAAAGTGGAAGACATCAGTTTAGGGCTGGATACAAAAGGTTTCGATGGTTAGACTTTTCTTTCTCTAAGCATTGATTCCTTTGTAAATTAACCAAATCCTTAGCCAGCACATAACTCCCACATTTATCAGCAGTCAAAATTTTAGAGTAACTTCAATAAGAAACAAACTACAGTTCTTTGAAAACAGTAGGGGCAAAGTAGCAAAGTCCTAAAGGAAAATATGTTTAGACGGATGAATGATAATTTTAGAAAATTTTAAAAGGATCTCTGGGTAGGTGTGGGTGAGATGAAGAAAAAAGTACTTTTAAAAGAT